ACAGTAAGCTAGGCTTCTTCCAACCTTCCAGGATCTGCCTAAGACTAGGACTGACCTTGGAAGCCACACCTCTCATTGAAGTGTCATCTCGTGCTGTGTACGGATTGTTCAACAACTATATGGCCAAAGACATCAACATTCCCAAAGCCAGTCACCTGGGATGGCTCATTAACCAGACGTTCCATGACTTTGAGCTAACGGTGCCGGTCATAGGCCACATACCAGTGCAACTACTGTCAGATGAATATGATGACACAGTAACGTTCACAAGACCCAATGGAACCATTGCCATCACCTCTATTCTGCCAGTGCCCAGAGAAAGCATCTGCTGATCAGAAATCACAGACGACACTCACCTCGCCGTCTACGCTGTTTCAACACAGCCCACGACAGAATCACCTGCACAGGTGACCATCAAGGCACAGAGCCCCTCAAATAACTCAACCATGGAGGAACCCTACACCGGGTTCAGCGCACAAATCCAACAGATCCTGAGTGAGGTGGATGCCCTTCACAAGGAAGCAGATCGCCAAGGACTCAAAGAGGTTCTGTACAAGTACAAGGACTCCTTCGCAAAGGACTCCCTGGACTGTGGCCTGACCAACATCCACAGTGTGCGCATCCCGACAAGCCCAAATGCACCACCCACATTTGTGCAATAGTACAAGATTCCAATAACGTCATATGAGCCAGTGCAAGAAATTGTTGACTCCATGCTGGAAAAGGGGGTCATCCAGCCCTGTAACAGCACATACTCTGCTCCGATATGGCCAGTCATGAAACCCAACGGCAAATGGCGGCCCACTATCGACTATCGCAAGTTGAACCAGCAAGTACCCTTGTCACGATGGCCAATGACCCAGTTGGACCAAGAGATTCCCAAAATCAGAGGCTCAACGATCCTTTCCACAATGGACGTCGCCTCAGGATTTTGGACAATCCCCGTCCACCCTGATGACCAACACAAGCTGGCATTCACCTTTGCCAATCGACAATACACCTTCACACAGTGCCCCTTTGGCTATGCCAACTCACCAGCTAAATTCAACATCTTCCTGAACAAAGCATGCCCTGATGCCAGAACCAGAGGCAACCTCGTTTACGTGGATGATGTGCTGTTGAAAAGCTCAAATGTGACAGACCACCTCAAAGAAATCGATCACGTCCTGAACCAGCTGACAACAGCAGGAGCAAAGATCGCCCTCCACAAAGGACAATGGTGCAAAACCAAAGTAAAATACGTCGGTCTGCTAATTGGACGGGACGGTATTGAACCACAGTCCAGTCGCACCCAAGCAATCCAAAACATAAAGACACCCACTAACATTTCTGAGCTACGAAGCTTTCTGGGAGTGTGCAATTACTCACGACAGTTCATTGAAAACTACGCTGACATCGCACGACCACTAACCTCCCTCCTGAGAAAGGACGAACCCTTCAACTGGTCTGAAGCCCAAGACAAGGCTATGAGCGAGCTCAAGCAACGTCTGTGCGCTGCACAATGCCTGGCCTACCCAGACCCAGGAAAAGAGTTCTATCTGGACGCTGGATTCTCCAATCACTGCCTCAGTGCAGGCCTGTACCAGCTCCATGACAAAGACAAGCGAGTGGTCGCTTATGCCAGTAAAACACTGCTTCCCCCAGAATGCAAATACTCAGATTGCGAAAAAGCTTTGCTTTGCACTGTGTGGGCCATCCAGCGTTTCTCCAACTACATTGGAGCTCAGAAGGTTATCATTGAAACCTGTCACCAGCCAGTAACCTTCCTCAACAGCCGACGAATCAGGGATGGCGTGGTAACCAACGCACGCATTGCTACTTGGCTAATGACACTCCAAGGAAAGGACGTCGAAGCAAGATATGCCCAAAACCACAGATCATATCTAGGAAACGGGCTAGCAGCCTGCCAGAACTGTTCAACGGACACGCTGCACACAGCAGCAGAACCCAAAGAACCGTTACCGCCACAACTGACAAACCACAGGTACTTCGAGGAGAATGTGTGTGAAGGAATGCCCACAGCATATGTCGATGGCTGCTCCTACAATCAACAGGGCAACTTGAAAGCTGGAGCGGGAGTGGTCTGGCTCAACAATGACCCGTGCCCGCCGCAACAATTCAAATTAGGCCCTCACTCATCGCAATATGCAGAAATTGCAGCCATCCTCATCACCCTACAACTTGCTGCATCCCACAACATCAAAGAACTCCTCATCTGTACCGACTCGAACTACGCCCGTCTAAGCTTCACATGCCATCTAGCTGGATGGAAACAGAATGGATTCAAGACAGCTAACAACAAGCCTGTCAAACATCAGGAACTCTTCCAAGCATGCGAAGCCATTGTCACTGAACATGACATGATCGTTTATTGGAAAAAGGTCCAAGGCCACTCACGTCAACCAGGACAAGACAAAGATCTCAATGACCAAACTGATGCCCCATTGCACGGAGAGTCCTGGACATGTCCTGACCTCCCACCCACCCCATCAGTGGCTGCTATAACCCGCCGCCAGCACGCCACTGGTGCGCAAACCCCCACCTCCTCCCATATTGAACTCTTACCTCAATTCGCCACTGAAGATCTCCTCACCCTCCAAGCTTCGGATCCGACACTGCAAACTATTGCAGCCCACCTGTCAAACCCATTAACTCATGCCATTTCCACCTCCGACCTAGCCACTTCCTATGATCTCCGTACGCTCAACTCTATCAAGCACATGCTGCATCTCAAAGACGGTGTCCTCACAATCCAAACCACCGAGCACCACTACAATGGAAAGGAATGACCTTCCCATGGTCGGCCCTCCAAATAGATTGGGTGGGACCCCTACCACAGTCAACACGGGGTAACAAATACTTCCTCACCGTGGTTTGCGAATTCACAAAATGGGTAGAGTGTCTCCCAGCTCCCAACGATACAGCAGAAACGACAGCCTGCCTTTTGATGAACCACATCTTCTCAAGGTTCGGATTGCCCTTAAGGGTCAACTCTGACCAAGGAACCCACTTCACCGCCGAAGTCATGAAGGAAGTGTGGAAACTCCTGGGTATACAGGCCAAGCTCCATATAAGCCATCACCCAATTTCCTCAGGTCAAGTGGAACGAACCAACAGGACAGTGGTCAGCATGTTCAAGAAGTAAGTTTCCGCCAATCAAAAGGATTCGGATATTAAGCTTCCTCTGGTACTGATGGCCGCCAGGGCCACCCCTCACCGGTCTACTGGAGTACCCCCGTTCGAGATGATGACGGGGCGACAAATGACACTACCGTTACACCTGCTGTACCAACCTGGTGGCCTGAACCTCGTCACTGCCTATACCACTCACCAATACCTGGAAGAGTGGCATCAACACCTGAGAACAACTTTTGCCTTCGCGCAACAACAACTCCAAAGGAGTGCGGAAGGTCGAAAAGCCTACTATGACCAAAAGGCCTCTCACCAGATAACTTCTGTCATTTTAGGAAGACATATAGCTATCTTTCTCAAACATAGCACCTACACATTCTCATCCGCCGCACTGCTAGGACCAACCTCTAGTAGAGAGGAGTTGTTCCACACATGTGACACTGTCCTTTGCTGTCTAACCTAATTCAGTGACATTGTGTCTCTTTGTGTTTTCTTTTATAACTATATATATATATATTTTTTTTAATTCCTCTTTCCCTCTCTCTCACTACAATTTCCTTTCCCTCTAGTCCCCTCATCAGGGAACTCCCTTAACTCAACTTTAAATACAGGTCCCGAAACTAGGATTGACTCCTTTCGCCAAAATTTTCGTAAATCATTGTGATAAGCCGTTGCCAACTGATCGAGGCGACCCCGCCAAACCATGACCTTCGCAACTAATTGCTCCTTCTTTCTGTTCTATAACCAGGAAGATGGTCAGACTTGCCGCCTTGTTGCTTTGCATAATGGGGGTTATGCCCCAGCCAGAAGTCGCATCGCCGGGACCAGCGTCGGGGATAGTACTCCATGAACAATCGGGGTTATTGATAACGAACTGCACAACCTACACTCAAAAGGTGTATGTCCGACTCAATCCCCGTGATGTTGTCAGAGCTCACTACACCCCCTCAGCCACTCAAACCACTTGGGCTGGAGCCCGTTGGACTCGAGAAATCCTCGCCCACGCCCAGGCAGATGTGAACCACATGCTGCACCAATTACAGAAAATGACTGTAACCCAGGCTGAATTAAGCAGGTATAACCGACGTCCCAAACGATTTTTGGGCGCCCTGCTGGCGGCTGCTGCGGCTGTAGGAACTCTGTTTAACATCGGCATGAATACCGCTAATGCTGTTAATCTGGCCACCGTGAGGCGGCATGTGGGCGAAATCCAGGCTGAAATGCCTGGGATACGACAACAGCTCTTAGTCCAGAGCAACGCCCTACAGACCTTCGGGAAGTCGCTGAACGGCACCATCACAATTCTAAATACCCATAGCACCCTTCTAAATCAAACCATAAAATCCATCAACAAACTATTTTTGGTCGTGCAAAGTTATTTAGCCCAAAGACAACTCCTAACCACCCTCATGACTGACATGCTACGGGAAGTAAGCTCCTTGATCGATAACTTAGCCATGGGTAGGATCCCCCACTACTTGATACCTCTTAGCCTTGTCCAATACATCCTAACTTCGGCCACTATGGGCCCTGCTAGTCCCATCCAAACCCATCTCGACTTTTCCCTGGGCAGCGCTAT